ACTTGGGAGGCTGAGGCAGAAGGATTGCTTGAGCCCAGGAGTGTGAGGTTGCTGTGAGCTAGGCTGACGCCACGGCACTCACTGTAGCCCGGGCAAAAGAGTGAGACTCTGTCTCAAAAAAAAAAAAGAAAAAAGAAAAAAGAAATGCGCTATCAAGACATGAAAAGACATGGAGGAAACTTAAATGCATATTATTAAGTGAAAGAAGCCAATCTGAAAAGGCTACACCGCATATGGTATGATTCCAACTCCATGACATTCTGGAAAAGGCAAAGCCATGGATATAGTAAAAAGATCAGTGGTTGCCAAGGGCTGGAGGAAGTGAGGGAGGGATGAATAGGCAGAGCACATAGAATTTGGGGGCAGTGAAAATACTTTGTATGACACTATAATGGTAGATACACATCATTATACATTTATTTGCCTACATCCATAGAATGTACAACACCAAGAGTGAGCCCTAATGTAAACAGTGGCCTTTAGGGGACAATGATGTGTCAGTGGAGGTTCATCGATTATAGCAAATGTACCACTCTGGCGGGGGATGTTGGTAACAGGGGAGGCGATACATGTGTGGGCACAGGAGGTGTATGAGAAATCTCTGTACCTTCCACTCGATCTTGCTGTGAACCCAAAACTGCTCCAAAAAAAAAAAAAAAATCATCTTTTTAGAAAAAAAGCATCTGAACCTTTTCTCAGTGGCACCAGCCACTTTCTACTTGGTATTGGAGGTATTTGGATGAAGAACTTACTTCTTCCCTGGTATGGGAGCTTCTGGGGGGGGCTGTGTCCCCCTTGCTTTATTAAATGTTTGGCAAGTGAACATAGAACAGGCAGCTCCGTAGGAACAAAAGCTAGTAAATCATCACATGGAAAAACAGCCTTTCTAGAAATTAAGGCACAACTATTAAATTTAATATAAAAAATTAACGGCCCAAACCCAGTGTTGGCAGCCTTGGTTATGAGTTGAATTGTGTACCCACCCCCTGAATTTATATGTCAAAATCCTAATCCTCAGTACCTCAGAATGTGACCTTATTTGGAAATAGGGCTGTTACAGATGTAATTATTAATAGTTAAGATGAGGTCATTAGGGTGGACCCTAATCTAATATGACTGGTGTCCTCATCCAAAGGGGAGGAACGGCCCTGCGACACGTAGCCAAACTCTTCACTCCCTCAGACACAGCATTCACCTCTGGAAACAACCCTAATGTTAAAGAAAAAAAAATTTATGGAATACTACTCAGCAAACAAAAAAAGGAACAAGTAAAATTTGGATAACTCTCTGGGAAATTATGCTGGTTACATAGTGATCGAGTCCATTTACATGGCATCTTTGAAATCCAAATATTATAGAAATGGAGATTGGATTAGTGGTTGCCAAGGGTTAGGAGTAGGGAGGGAGGGTGAGGGAGGGAGGTGAGTGTGGTTACCAAGGGCAACTGGAGGGACGCTCAATGTCACAGAGCTGTTCTTTATCTTGACTGTGGTGGTGCATCCTTGACTATACGTATGTGATAAGATTGCATGGAACTAAACACACACACACACGTGTGCATGCACACACACACACACAAATGAGTACAGGTAAAATAAGGTCGGCGAATTGTGTCAATATCAACATTCTAGTTGTGATGTTGTCCTATCGTTTTTCAAGATGTTACCGTTGGGAGAAATTGGATAAAGATTACACATAATCTCATATTTTTCTTACAAGTGTTTGTGAATTTATAATTCTCTCCAAATAAAAAAATTTAATTAAAAAAAAATCGCTTTGTAATTTTTTGAATGAGGATGTTCATAGCAGCCTTGCAGAGGATAGGAGAAAATTGAAAATAATCTAAACTACCCACAACAGAAATCAGCTAAAACCCTGGGGGTTTAATTCCAGGGAATGTTGTCTAACTCTGAACAATGACAGGTCTGTGGTGAGTAAATATAAAGATCTGTCAATGATTTAACATTAAATGCAAACGCAGATGACATCACCGCAAGTTTTCGCTGGGCCATTCTGTGAAGAGCATTCCTATACACTGGCAGACTGTAATTCAGAGGAGTGGAGATCATTTAGAGGTTCAAGGGCAGTGGATTCTTCCTTTTTCTTTTAATATTATTCCAGTTCCAAATAAAATAATGAAACGAAATCAAATCAAATCAAATCAAATCAAATCCGGAGCCTCGCCATTCTCCAGTGGCTGGCGCTTCCTTCTGTTGCCAGCAGGTGGCAGAAGTGTTCCAAGGATGGTTCCCACGGTCTCTCCGACGTGGACAGTCCAGCAGCTCCCAACAGCAGGTGGGGCTCTAAGTGCCCATCCCGCCTGCTAGAGGAACCCAGGCATCAGAACGGCCTCTCCGAAGTCCAATGCAAGAAGGCAGTTGTCTGGCCATGATAGGGTTAACAGTCCACATTCCAGAGCAAGGGAAAAGGACTGGCGGATCACAGACAGGGGAGGGGGCACAGAGGCCCAGCTTCTCCCAACACTACCGGCTCTGTTGGGAGAGATAGATCACCCCCAACAATGGCCACAGCTGTTTTCTTCTGCCCCGAAGGAAACTGACTTAGGAAGCAGGTATCAGAGAGAGCCCTTCCTGCAGGGGCTTCTGTCTGGCTTGTAAAACTGTCAGAGCAGCTGCATTCATGCGTCAGGTGATGGATGGTGGAAAGAGGACAGTCGGCCGCAGATGGACACAGCAACCTACAAGTTGAGGCAGGTGGCAAAGGCCTTGCGGAGGCTCCGCAGGTGGGGCGTACTGATTCATTGCCCAGTTAAAATACCAAGGGGATCTGGGTCACAGCCCTCTTCCCAGCCTCCCTTCAGGGCTAGGAGCTGGTGAGCCGTCCTCAAACAATCCGTCTTCAATGAAAGCTTCCGCTTGGCCCTACTTTCTTTTCTTGCACCTCAGGTGTGAATCTGTCTCCATGTGCCTCTACCTCCCCCTCCCCGTGCCCCTCATTCTACACAGGGCTCAGGTAGCAATTCCTCTTGGCTTCTTTGCAGGGAGTAGACCTGAGATGGCTTCCTGGAGCACACTCTGCAGTATGCACCAGTGAGGTCTTCCATATAGGACTCGAAGATGGTTTACAAAAATGTAGCAGGCTGGGAGGGAAGAAAAAAAATGTCAGCACTAAAAATGCTGGCCTTGGCTTTTGCTAAGGAAAGGAATTCTCAGTTTCCACCCCCACCCACAGCCTGGCCAGGGAAATAGCTGCCTTTGGCTCATCAGCCTGTGAGCCGCAGTGAGTGCCCTGGCTGAGAAGTGCCTGTCACCGTGTGCAGGGTCCCCAAGGAGCATGAGCTGAGGTTTCCTCTTTGCGCTCCATCACCAGAGCGTGAGTGACCTGTTCATCCTCGACTTGTACCCAGAATCCCACACGTCTCTCCCAAGCGGGAATCTTTGCTGTGGCCCTCCGGTTTTCTTTCTTGCCTTCCAGACAGTGCCAAGAGAGGCTTTCCTGGTCAGGATAATCAATGCAGAGACTCGTGGAAGTGGGTCCAATGGGATTTCTTAAAAAGCATCCTTCTGCCTCTGGCTGAGCCTGTGGGGCCAAACAGATACCCCTAGGGCCATTTGTTGGTGGGGTGCCAAACGAACTTGGCCTGAGAAATGGGGTTGGCTGCGCTCAGCCCTGTGGACAGCTCAGAGCTGCACATTTTCTGTTAAGCTGGTCCACAGCTTGTTTTGAGACTGCCCGATGGGCCCAGGGAGGCAGACAATTAAAAGCTGGAGCTCATTTTGATATCTGAAAACCACAGCCGCCTGCACGTGGGAGGTGCCAGAGAGCAGACTTGGGCCCTGCCTCACACGCCCCCCTCTCTCTGGGTCACCTGGGAGTGCCAGCAGCAATTTGGAAGTTTGCTGAGCTTGAGGAGAAGTCTTTGGGGAGGGCCTGCTCTGAGCACACCCCTTTCCCTCCTCCGGGGCTGAGGGAAACATGGGACCAGCCCTGCCCCAGCCTGTCCTCATTGGCTGGCATGAGGCAGAGGGGGCTTTAAAAAGGCGACCGTATCTGGGCTAGGGACCGGAGCCGGTGCTACTGGAAAGCTGTGTGCCCTCCTCCGGCTGGCACCATGCAGCTCTCTCTAGCCCTGTGTCTCGTCTGCCTGCTGGTGCACACAGCCTTCCGCGTGGTGGAGGGCCAGGGGTGGCAGGCCTTCAAGAATGATGCCACAGAGATCATCCCCGAGCTCGGAGAGTACCCCGAGCCTCCGCCAGAGACGGAGAACAACAAGACCATGAACCGGGCGGAGAACGGAGGGCGGCCTCCCCACCACCCCTTCGAGACCAAAGGTACGGAGCGGAGGAGAGAACTTTCAGCACAAAGGGCCTGGGGAGGTAGCTGGGGAAATTTTAGAACCTTTCCTTTGGGAGGCTTTGATGACTGGGGTAGACCACCAGCCTCTGCCGACACCAGTGGAGGGATGGGCTTGCTTGGAGGCAGGGGAACGGCATGCCAAGTGCAGCCCTTGAATTCAAGTGCAGGGCATGAGGCTGGCAGGGGGCGTGCTGAGAGGGGGAGGGTATGGCTTTGGACATGCTCAGGGGCTCAGAAAAGAAAAGGAATCCCCTCTTGAGAATACAGAAGTCAGGTCCAGCTGCTGGATCACTGGGGAGGGGACAAGGCGAGGGAGCCTCAGTGGCACCTGCTGGGTGCCAGATGTTCTATGAGGGCTGTGGCCGTACTGTACCCCAGATCCACCTTGTGGAAGCCCCACGATGTGAACCCCCAGCCTCAAGGTGAAGAAACTGAAGCTCCAGAGACTAAGTAACTTGGTAGTGAGTAGAAAAGCTACGATTTGAACCCAGTTTGATCCAGTTGCAAGACAGTCCTGGGGGAGGGCCTGAGATCCCTGCATACAGTGGAAAGGGGACGTCTGTTGCTCCCCTCGCCTGCGGCTGCCCGGTGAGCTGGCACTTGAAGAAACAGGAGCTGTCAGCACAGTTTTAGCCTCTGCCATGGGTGGCAGCTGAGTCCGGACCCTGAGGGAAAGCAGCACTCTCTGATGCATGGAGTGGGCACAGGTGGCACCATCTGTCTTGAGCCCTGACCCCAGACCCAGCCTTGCCTCATTCCTGGGGAGAGAGCCTGATCCTAGGAGAGGGAGAAGGCGGTGGGTTCCTGGGTTCCTGGTCAGGCTTGCGCAGAGAAGCCTGGGGGCAGTGTGCACAGCTGGCTCTGCAGCCGGCAGGAATGGCTGGGGTGGGGGCTGAAATGACACTTCAGAGTGAGGGCCTGGCTGCCCTCTGGCCATGACCCAGGTGGGAGAGGAGCCCACTGCCCAGACTCCTGCATGCCATCCCTGCCTGCCTGACAACCTGCTGGGGCTGTGGGGCGCTGACAAGGGCTACCCAGAGGAGGCTAGCCAGGACCCTGGGAGGGCAAGGGCGCCCCTTCCCCCACCTCCCCACCCAGGCAAGGAGTCAACTGAGCTCAAGTGACTGCTTGAAGGGCTACAGGGAACCCAAATTCACCTCCCTGGGCTCCCATGAGAAGCCACAGCCCCTGAGGAAGCCACACACTCAAAACAAAGTCACGCTTTGCAGAGCAAGTGCCTGACCTAGGGGCACTATTCTTGGAAGCCCCAAAACAAATTTCCCTGGGCAAATAGTCCACCCCACACACTGCCCCTGCAAGGGTGAGGGTGCCAGACCAGCCCAGAGCCCAGAGAGCCATGCCTACCCTGCCGTGTTTGCTGGGGTGGGAGGGGCGGGTACCTTCTCTGCCCTCACTTGGTTTTGGTCTCAGGAATATTTTTCATCTCTTTGTGTCACATTGGAACTGTCCCCATGAAACTCTTGGCAGTGGACAAGTGCTCACATGAAGACCAGCTATTTAAAAAGCTCCCACCCATCTAAGCCAACAGTAGGAGACACAGTCAAGGTGTGTGTGCACAGGCCCAGGCCAGGCCTCAGAGCCCAATCTCTCCTCACCTAGGCAGAGAGCTTGCATCATCATCAGGTGCCCATCCGAGTGACATAAAGCAAGGGATGTGCCCAGCAGACAGCCGGGTACACAGTGGGTGCTCACAGTGGGTTTGTGGCAGCTGAACCTGTAGGTTTTGGGTCAGAGGTCAGTTCCCCTCTGGTAGGAAAGCTGTAGTAAAAACTAGCCCTAACCTTCCCTTCCCCCCACCCCCCAGCCAGCCTCCCAGGGGTGCTGAAGCACATGAGCTTCTTCCCTTCTGCAGACAACAGGTGCTGGGGCCCCAGGGAAGCGGAGTCAGGAGACCCAGCTCTGCCTCTTGGGCAAACTCTCTTCTCTCTCTGGGCCTCAGTCCTCGCTGCTAATGAGGGGGTTGGACACACTGCTGTTGGTTCCTTTCAAGTCTAATGAATTCCTATCCTGACCACCTCCCCTTCCATCTCTCGCCTCCAGAGCAGCCGTGCTGATTTATTACCCTGGATTAACCTCTACTCCTTTCTCCATCTCCTGTCCACCCCTCCCAAGTGGCTGGAAAAGGAATTTGGGAGAAGCCAGAGCCAGGCAGAAGGTGTGGCTAATACCTACTCTGCCCAGGGGCCAGGGACCCTGCCACACAAGTGTGGCTTAAATCAGAAGAGGGCTTGCCCCCTAGGAGAGGAATATTAGCAATGCATAGGAACAGCCAACACTTCCAACGCTTACTACGTGCGGAACAGTGTTTCTTGCATTATATATGTAATGGATTAACTCACTGAATCTTCGGGACAACCCATTTTACAGACTGGAAGAAGAGGGAGGTTAAGTAACTTGCCCAAGATCGCACAGGTAGTAAGTGATGGAGCCCTGGTGTTTGAACCCCAGCAGTCACTGGGATCCAAGGGGAGAGCCTGGAATCTTCCCACGAGCCCCAGAGGATCCGGGGACCTTTCTCTAATAGGTGCTCAGGGGCAAAAGCCTCAGGAGGGAAGGGGAGAGGCAGGCTCAGGGAAAGGAGGGGCTGGGGAGGAGGGGGCCGGGCCAGGCAGCCCCTCACGCGCGCCTCTCTCCGCAGACGTGTCCGAGTACAGCTGCCGCGAGCTGCACTTCACCCGCTACGTGACCGACGGGCCGTGCCGCAGCGCCAAGCCGGTCACCGAGCTGGTGTGCTCAGGCCAGTGCGGCCCCGCGCGCCTGCTGCCCAACGCCATCGGCCGCGGCAAGTGGTGGCGCCCGAGCGGGCCCGACTTCCGCTGCATCCCCGACCGCTACCGCGCGCAGCGGGTGCAGCTGTTGTGTCCCGGCGGCGCGGCGCCGCGCGCGCGCAAGGTGCGCTTGGTGGCCTCGTGCAAGTGCAAGCGCCTCACCCGCTTCCACAACCAGTCCGAGCTCAAGGACTTCGGGCCCGAGGCCGCGCGGCCGCAGAAGGGCCGGAAGCCGCGGCCCCGCGCCCGGGGCGCCAAAGCCAACCAGGCCGAGCTGGAGAACGCCTACTAGAGCCCGCCCGCCCGCCGCGCCCCCAAGTTTCTGTCCTCTGCGCGCGGTTCGATTGTTTGTATTTCATTTTAAATGCCTGCAACCCAGGGCAGGGAGCCGAGACCTTCCGGGCCCTGCGGAATCCCGGGAGCCTGCAAGGCCCCCGTCGCCCGCCCGCAGAGGGGGTCCCGCAGGGAAGGGGAGAGAGTTGAGAGTCACAGACACTGAGCCACGCGGCCCCGCCCACCGGGGCCGCCTACTTTCGCTGGTCCCACTTCAGAGGAGGCAGAAATGGAAGCATTTTCACTGTCCCGGGGTTTTAAGGGAGCGGTGAGGAGTGTGAAAAGTCCGGGGCCTGGTTAAGAAAGTTCGATTAAGATTCTCCACCCGCCTCTCTGCCTATCATAAAGCCCATGTCGTTCCAAGAACACAGGACTGGGGGTCTGTAGATACGGTGTCTAGTCCTGACTCTGCCACTAACTTGCTGTGTGACCTTGAACTACACCATTCTCTTTCGGGACCTCAATATCCTTTTGTAAAATGGGGGTGGGGAGTGGGATTAGGATTTGGAGGAATGTACCGTCAGGTATTCCAAGGACTCTTACCTTTTGAATGGGCAGAGGAGAGTGAGAGGGAGAGAGAGAGGTTGAATTGACTCACTACCAAGGTCACTTCCAGAATTCAGAGTTGTGATGCTCTGATCTGACAGCCAAAGATGAAAAACAAGCAGAAAAAAAGAAAAGAGTCTATTTATGGCTGACATATTTATAGCTGACAAACTCCTGGAAGAAGCTGCCGTCGTTCCCAGCCCAGCCTCCCCAGATGTTTGGCTACCTCCACCCCTCCATCTCAAAGAAATAACAACGACAGTTGGGGTAGAGAAGGAGAGGTCCCAAGGGTGGTGGGAGGGCCAGAAATCACACACACGCACCCTCAATCCCCAGGGGCAGCATCCCTCCCCCACCCCATGGCTATATTTTAAAGTCACCTTCTGAACAGAAGTTCAAGGTTCAAGGATGCTGGGCTTACAGGTCCAAGGGAGAAGCCACCACACACTCAGACCAGCACATCCCTTTCGAGGCACCTCGTCCTGCCCACCACTTGGGGACACATTTCTGCCTAGGAAACAGCTTCTTGCTGCTCTCACATGTGATGACTTACCTTATATTAAAAGAATACTATCGGGGGAAAATTACAAGTGCTGTACATATGCTGAGAAACTGCAAAGCGTACGTAATAGCTGCCACCCAAAAATCTTTTTGAAAATCATTTCCAGACACCTCTTACTTTCTGTGTAGTTTTTAATTGTTAAAAAAAAAAAGATATTTTAAACAGAAGCACATGCCGTGCGAAAGCCTGCAGGACTGGTCGTTTTTTGTAATCCTTCCACGTACGTGGCACTTGTCCACAAGAATGAAAGTAGTGGTTTTTAAAGAGTTAAGTTACATATTTATTTTCTCACTTAAGTTATTTATGCAAAACTTTTTCTTGTAGAGAATGACAATGTTAATATTGCTTTATGACATAACAGTCTGTTCTTTCGGAGTCCAGAAACATTGTTAATAAAGACAATGAATCGTTACAGAGAGGATGTGGTCTCATTTTGTCAACCACACAGAATGTCATTTCTGTCAAAGTTCACACCCTTCCCTTGGTAACTAGGGCTCGAAGCTTGGAGGGACCTCTGACTGCTCTCCAGTGGCCCTTGTGACAATTATGTCTTCCTTTGAAAAGTCATGTTTCTCCCTTCCTTTCCAAACCTAGACCACATTCCTTTACCCAGGACATTGTAATAACCTCAGCCTGGTCTCCACAACACCATGTTCCAGAAAGGCTGTTCTCATCACATCACTCCCCTGCTCAAGAACCTTCAATGGCTCCTCTTGCCCAAGATCAAATGCAGTTTTCCCAGTCTGCCTGATTCCCATCTCCCATTCTGCCAAGCTTCCTTGCTGACTCTAAATGGTTACTCTGACTCCTGCCTCTTTAGTTCGCTGTCCCACTTTCCACCCCTAGTAACTCCTACTTTTCCTTTAAGATTCATTTTACTTAGCACCTCTTCTCTGAACCTTCCAGAGATGCTTCAATCTCAAGTGATCTCTCTCTCCTCTGATGTCCCAGCCCCTTTTGTCCACACCACTCCTTTGGCTCCTGATTCTGTCTTCCATTTGACATTCATTAGTTGAGGATCTGCCTAGCCTGGCCAATCCCTGCTTAGTCCTGGGATAGACATAAAGCCAAGTACCATTCTGGACCAGCTCACAGGGAGCTCGGTCGAGCTTTTTTCCAAGTGTGAATTTTATGCCTCCTGGTGAACATGTAAGATCTTCAAAAGCAAGGACAATGTCTCTCAAAGTCTTTCCTCTCCAAGGTGCCCAAATGTGGTGGGTGCTAGCTGAGACTCAGTAAATACTCTCCAGCTGCCATAAGGAAGGATGGTCAACTGGAGAGCTTTATATTAAGTCCAGCCTATCTCGGGGGGAACCTACCCCGCAAAGTCAGCTGAGGTCCCTCCTGATGACTTCTCAGTTTAACTTCCAATAAACCCTCCTAAATCCATTATCGTCATCAACAGGTCTTTCATAGGTGTCAGTGGGTGTTGCTGGCTGGACCCTCCTGCAGCTCCAGGCCCCAAGGAGGACTCAGGGAGAACCTGTAGGAATTCATGCACTATGACGAGTGTCCCAGAGCCCAGAACATGAGAGCAGGTAGGAAACAGACATCGTCCAGCCCCGAGAGGCAGTGTGCTACAGTGGGTGGGGACACAGGCTCTGGAGCCAGGTTTGTGCTTGCATCTGAGCAGACTGAGGCGCTAAGGGGTTAAATGTTTTGCCCAGGCCAGCCCCGGGCTCAGTTCCTAGCCTTGACACTCTCTCAAGCTGCTCAGAGCCAGTGGGCATGTGGGCACATAACCAGATCACACTGTTCTGTACAAAGTGTTACGGGAACCAGGAGTGATTCACTCTGTGGAGGAGACAAGAGATAACGGTTAGGGAAGGTTTCACAGAGGTGGGTGCTGCTTAGAGATTTGCCAGGTGGAGAAGGTGGTGTCTAGGCAGGGGCGAGGCCCAGGCAAAGGCTGCAAGGGCAAGGCTGTTCGTGGGTGGAAGAGACTCCGCTATTCCTCAGCATGGACTGAGTCCTTACCATGTGCAAAGCAACGTGGGGGCACCGGGATTCCAAGCAATGCCCAAACCTGGGGTCTGCTTTCTGGGACCCAGAGATGCAGGAGGGATCAGCCCAGGCTACAATCCCATTACCACGAGGGGAAAAAAACCGAAAGGCTAAATTGTAGGTCAGGTTAGAGGTTATTTATGGAAAGTTATATTCTACCTACATGGGGTCTATGAGCCTGGCGCCGATCAGAAACGGAACAAACAACAGGCTTAGCTGGGAGGGGTGGCGTTTCGCTGTGGGGAGCACATGTTCTGGGGGTGCAGCCAGACTCAGGCTTGTATTAACAGTCTGAGAGTCAGACAGACAGAGAGACAGAAGGAAATAGACCCCCACCCCATACACACACATACACACACACACACACACACACGCACGCACGCACGCACGCGCGCGCGCACACACACACTCGGTGGGGGGTTCTTTCTATACAAAAGAAACTCAAAGGAGCTACAGAATCCTAAAGTTCCCTATTTTCCTTGAAGCAGGCAGGACTTGGGCAGCCAAGGAGGGCGGAGAGTCTGCAAAAGCCACCTGTGTGTGAGCCAAGCTTGGAGTCACAGACACTGAAAGCTGGTGCCGTGTCTCACCCCCGCACCCACCTGTTCCCTGACACCGGGCCTGCGCTCCCTGCCCCGTTCCCTGATCATTGATTATAGCTCTGGGGCCTGCACAGGCCTCCTGCCACACCTGCACCCCATTCTTGGAATGAGCCCTCTGTCTTCACCCTGGTCCAAGGGCAGGCAAGGGTTCCAATCTGCAGCAGCTTTGACCAGCAGCTGGAGTTCCTTTTGCGGCCAGAGGTGCAGGAGGCAGGGGATGTCTTCCTAAGTAATGTGACCATGTGCCTGCTTTGTCCAGATGGTCTCCATTTGCACCTATTGGTCCAGTGTAACTGTTAATAGCCCCCACTTTTACTCTCAAAAATGTCCCAATTTGGGTAATAAATTCTTCCTGTGGAATAAGCAGGGCCCAGTCGCCCATTTTTAAACATTGGCGCCTCTGTCTCTCTGCCCTCCTAGACAGTAAGGCCCAGGAAAGCAGAGAGTCTTGTCTCACCAGGGCGCCCCCACTACTCACCATACAGTAGGAGATTAATATGCACTGTGGTTGCATTTTTTTTTTTTTTTTTTTTTAGAGACAGGGTCTCGCTCTGTCCCCGGGGCTAGAGTGCGGTGGCATCATCATAGCTCACTGTAACCTCCAACTCCTGGGCTCAAACGATCCTCCTGCTTCGGCCTCCCAAAGTGCTTGGATTACAGGCATGAGCTACTGTGCCTGGCCTGCCATCGCATTTATTTAGGATTACTTCTCTTGAGAGATTAGGTGGGTGGCATGGGCTGAGAGGCCTGTGTGATGGTGAAAAGAGGCTGTTTGCCCAGACATTAGGTCTCTGAGGATAAGACACAGCTCCTACTCTCAGACGACTTACAATCTTGCTGGGGAGTCAGTGGAAAATGAGGGCAAGGGGGATCACGTGGGGTATGTGGTCATTTGCCACCAGGATGGAGAAAGCTGAGGGCATAGAAGGCTTCAGGGGAGCAGGGCCTCTGTGGGGTCCCAGCAAGTGAGGACTGAGCTTTGAAGGCTGCCCAGGATGTGGAGGGGCAGAGAGGAGAGACAGTGGAAGGGAAGGGAACAAGAGGGGCTCTACCAGGTGGGGTGGGGTGGGGTGGGGCGATGCTGGCTGGGATCAGGTACACAGCAGGTACTCTCTGTCCACGTTTATTCCGCAGGGAAAGAGAAGCCAGGAAGGGGAGCAGAGTGGGAGTCAAGTAGAGGCAGATGCTGTTAGTCATGGCAGGAGAGGCAGAGGCAATGAATGCCGAGGAGAGAGGGGTGGAATCCCCGTAATGGTGGCACCAAGTCCTACAAGAAAGGCGAGAAGCTGGGTTGTGGGTGCTGAAGGGTGCCTTGCAAGACGTCCTGCTCTCCCAGAGCCTGGCAGGGCTGCTTCAGAGACTGAGCCCTGCAAGTGCATGGCTGTTTGTGGGTGGAAGAGAACCAATCCCCCATTCCTCAACATGTGCTGAGTCCTTTCTTGCCATCCCTTCACTCAACACCTGATTGCCCTACAACCATTTGGATGCCTGAGCTTGGGTCCTACCCACAAAGAAGGCCGGAGCTGGCAGCTGGCAGCTGCAGGTGGGAGGGATCAGTACCCAGGAGGGAGTCGGGGGAGGGAGATGGAAGGAGAGGAGCCCAGAGTGCAAACCTCCCCTGCCTGACAACTTCCTGAGGGCTGGTCCTTCCAGCAGGTAGAAGGGAGAGGAAGGGAGGTGGGGCAGGAGAGGAAGTGAGAGGAAGGAGAGAGTGGGGATGGGGAGGAGAGGCAGGTGTTCGTTCATTCATTCCGCTGCTGCTGCCTGGGTGCCAGCTGGGAGCCAGGCACTGCCCAGATTCCAGCATGTGGTTGTGATCGTGGAGCCCCATGAAGCTCACAGCTAGTGCCAGCAAGGAGATGGATGGTAGATGGGTAAAAATAAATGTTCAGCATAATGCTTGGGAAGAAAAATAAAGCTGGTGAGCAAATGGAGAGACCTGGACACCTCCAGGCCAGGCCCCTCTGAGGAGGTGGCATTTGAGCTAAGACCTAAGTGCAGCAATGGAGTGAGCCACAGAAGGACCTGGGGCTGCATGTGCCAGGAGGGGGAGCAAGTGCAGAGGCCCTGAAGATGTGTGGGGGTGGTGGAGGGACACTGCTAATTGCCTTGGGTGCCTTTCAGGGGTCTCCATGCCACGGCTGCTAACCCCTGATCTGGAAGCCAGTGGGGACATGTGTGTGTGTGTGTGTGTGTGTGTAAGAGAGAGTCTCTCTTTATATGTTCTCCTGGCTCTGTATGTCAAAGACCAAGTGGTTCTAGAGAAGAATAATTTGCATATTATCAATTACGTAGTTACGCACACCTTTATTCTTAAAGCTTTTGATGCGTTTGCTTAAGTAAGGCTGTTAGTATGTCAAAGACCAAGTGGTTCTAGAGAAGAATAATTTGCATATTATCAATTACGTAGTTACGCACACCTTTATTCTTAAAGCTTTTGATACGTTTGCTTAAGTAAGGCTGTTAGCACTGGGCAGATATATTACAACAGGAAAACAGATGCCCTTGAATTCCTTCCAGGACACACATACGTTATAAAATTTGTATGTAACTGCAGAAAAGCCTGCAATCTTCCTTAACCAGATGCCTACAAAATCCAGCCTTTGATGGAAGCCAATGGTTAGCTCAGGGAAGCTGGGAAGGCGCAAGCACGGATGTGTTGGTTCTTTCCTGCTGCACCTCTAACCCAGACATGTAAATATATCTAGACGGATACGTGTTTATTTATCAGCTGAGACCCCAGGTTAGGGAAGGGAAATCTGAAGGGTAAGAAGGAGGCTAGAAATGAATTTCTGCTGGAAAGATTCATTCTT